ATATCCCTTATGCGATTGCCTGTAGGCTGAATAAAGCCCTCTCCTAACTCCTAGCCATCCCTCTACTAACTACTAGTAGTGTAACTTTGGGTCAGTCATCTCTCTGGCCCTTGGTTCATTCATCTGTGAAGAGGAGGTAATATTAGCAATTACCTTACAGAGGGCTAAGTTTGAAATAAAGCACTTTGAACAAACACTGGCATTCAAATTTAATAATGCTTTCAATCCTATGTATTCAGCCTACTCAGAAGCTGAGAACTTTCTTTTTTATTTTATTATTTTATTTTAGACAGTCTGTAGAGAACTGTAAACCTGACAGGTTGCTCTTACACAATTTGCTTTTAGAGCAGGTCAGTGTATGCAAGAAGAAAATGCACTATCTGATCTATTTTTACTCAGAGGAAGTCTGTGAGAAAGATGTCACAGATCTTTCCTCTGCCAAGAGGGAAATTAGGACCAATAAATAGCTGAGCAGCAAGTTAGAATACTGAAGAGACTTCTCAGGAAAAGACTACATTTACATCATAGTTTGAATGTGTGATCACCTCATGCACACACACTTGCACGCGTACACAACAAAGGCAACTTAGAGACTCCAGCTCTCAGAAAGATGGCTGATGGAAGTCATATTATTAAGATAGCTTTAGGGATAGAGGCTTATAAAGACAGGGTCCTTATTAGAGAGGCTTGGTATGCATGATATAATATCCAAGGGACATGTTTTTCCTAACTTTATATGACCAGAGGATAATTTGCTCAAAGTTTTTGGTCCCCAGTCTCCTTGAGGGCAGCAATCTGTGTCTCCCATTGTAGCTCATTCAGTTAAACATATTTAATTCGAATGCCCTCCCCAAAATAGGGGAAGGTAGTTATTTCTCACCGAATCTGTTCAAAGGCTATTTTCATTTATCAGTTCCAAATGTATGAGCCATCTAATTTTTTTTTTTTTTTTTTTTTGCAGTTTTTGGCTGGGGCTATGTTTGAACCCTCCACCTCCAGCATATGGGGCCAGCGCCCTGCTCCTTTGAGCCACAGATGCCACCCAGCCATCTAATTTTTGAATTTGGGCATTTTTCCACAACTATTAAGAAGTTTCTTATATATTCCTTAAAATTTAACATCTTTCCTGGAATAAATGAAATTAAGGTTCAGGTTTTTCATTTTCATTTTTTTTTTTTTTAGTTTTTAGCCGGGGCTGGGTTTGAACCCTCCACCTCCGGCATATGGGGCCAGCGCCCTACTCCTTTGAGCTACAGGCGCCGTCCTTCATCTTAATTTTTTACATGGCTTTAGAGACAGTTACTGTAAATTTGCTCACTAATTATACCTTCTGTTGCCTCATGTTAAAAACATGTTAATTGTTCCTTTACCTGCTGGAAGTGGTCCATGTAGTGAACAGCAAGAGCCCAACGCCAAGTCCCAGTTGTGATGAAATCTGCTTTAGTAGCCAGAACCACAGTAGATCAGAAAAGTCACTTAAGAGAACCGACAAT